GATAGGTTTAGGGTCAAAATAAAAGGTTTGTCACTAGAAGGTTAAAATACTAGCAGAATAAAGGTATTACAATTATACAAAATGCTCATTGATGTAGTACTGAAAGCAATTCCCTGAGAGGAAGTGGTAAAGAGGGTTGAGTGGAGGAAGAATGTGACAGAGCTTTACCGAATTATGCTTGAGGTGGAGAAAATGGACAGAGAGAAGATTTGTGCCTGGGGTCATCCAATGGAGCTAAATGGTAGGAAATTTGTTGTTGTTGTTGTTGTTGTTGTGTGCCTTCAGGTCATTTCCAACTGTTGCAGGGTTTTCTTGGCAAGACTTGTTCAGCGGAGGTTTGCCATTGCCTTCCTCTGAAGCCAAGAAGTGTGACTTGCCCAAGGTCACCCAATGGGCTTCATGGTTGAGCTGGGAAATTAACCCTGAAAATTAAGGAAATTAAGGAGAGATAAAAGGGAAGTGCTTCACCACACCACATATCGTTAAACAATGGAATTTGCTGATAGACCATATCTTTGCATATGAGCCTGCGTCTCCCCTGAGATCCTCAGGGAAGGCCCTTCAGTCTCACCACCTTTGCAAGTACAAAGACTGGGGATGTGTAAATGGGTGGCTGCCTCTAGGCTCTGGAAGTCCTTTCCTAGGGAGCCTGGGACAGCTCCCTTCATGTTGCCCTTCCATCAGCAGGCAAAAACTTTTTTTTTTTTCCCAACAGGCATTTGAGAAAAAAAGGTGGTTGTTTATTTATGTTTTTTTAAGAAAGGGGGATTTAAACTGCTTTTAAACATTTTTACTTCTATGCTTTAAACTGCTTTTAGTGTTGTTAACAGCTTATTTCCATTCATATTGTACTTGCTGAGTCCTGGATTTAGAGAAAAGGTGCAGTATAATTGAAGGAGAAGAAGGAAAACTATCACAGTACTGTATAGTGATGATCACCAATTTAGATGGCTTGAAAGGGGTATTAGATAATTTAATGTGGGATAAGGTTATCTATGGCTCTTTAGCATGATAGCCATATAATACATTCATGATCATCAGCAGCATGTCTATGAATACTGGTAGCTGGAGAGAAAGAGCAGGATGGGGTTATTGCCACCTGGTCCTGTTTGGGGACTCCTCATAGGCATAGGGGCAACGGGAGGCAATGGCAGAATGGTGGACTTGAAAGTAATTTGATCTAATCCAGCCTTTCTGAAGTGTCAGACTACAACTCTGACAACTGAAGTGTCAGACTACAATATTGCCTGAGGATGACAGGAGTCATAGTCCAACACATCTGGAGGACACTATGTTGCAGTAGGTTGATCTAAACCAGTGGTTCTCAAACTTTTTACCCGTGACTCCCTTTACATCTACATCTGGACATTGTGCTCCCCCACTTGACGTAGTATATAAATGAAAATATTTTGTTTGTTTTGTGTGCATATTTTTGTTCACACATTGGTGTGTATGCATATTTTAACATCATATAAGGCCGTGGTGGCGAACCTATGGCACGCGAAACCATTTTCCCTGGTACGTGGAGGGTGGGGATGAGGAGGAACAGGCCTCCAAGTCACATGCCCTCCTTGAACAATTCTCATGCTCTCCCTGGGGGTCCTGTCCAACATTTTGAGCACCACTAATCTAAACCAACTAAGGATCTTCTTATGTCTTTATCTAAAAGACTCAGAGTGCTTCCAGATTAGATTTTATTGTGCAATTACCCTATATGCATCACAGAATTTTGGCATTGTCCAGATACCATTGTTGTCCATTTGAAACCCATCTGTGTTTTTCTACTACTTTTTCTTTCTCCTCCCTCTCTTAATACTGAAAGTTAATTAGGGAGGAGAAGATGGAACAGATGTACAGTAGACTGGCAGTGCTAGGAGCCATCCATCTGGAAATGCACACTTATTGTGCAGGTGCATAAAACTTTTAAGGGTTAGAGACTACTTTGTCAGATGCATGAAAAAAAATTTCCTGGGTGAACACTCAGTGATTGCATTATGGATTGTCAGCAAGGATGTCTGGATTTTCAGGTGGCTATTCTAACTTAATTTTGTTGTTGTTGTTGTGTGTGCCTTCAGGTTATTTCTGATTTATGGCAACCGACCCTATCACAGGGTTTTCTCGGCAAGATTTGTTCATTAGCGGGAGGGTTGCCCTTGCCTTCCTCTGAGGCGGAGATTGTGGCTTGTCCATGGTCATCCAGTGAGTTTCAATAGCTAAGCTTGGATTCAAACCCTGGTCTTCAGAGTCCTAGTCCAACACTCAGACTACTCTTGCATGGCCCATACTTTATTTATCTCAACCCATTTTATGTATTTTTTTTTAAAAAAATGTTCCTATTTCTACTGTTTTTGCGAACCAGGATGGTGTGGTTTGAGTGTTGAACTACAACTATGGAGACCAAGGTTCGATTCCTAGCTTGGCCATGAAACCCACTGCGTGACCTTGGGCAAGTCACACTCTCTCAGCCTCAGGGGAAGGCAATGGCAAACCTCCTTGGAACAAACCTTGCCAAGAAAACCCCATGATAGGGTTGCCTTAGGGTCACCATAAGCCGTAAACCAAGGCACACAACAACAACAAAATTTCTAATGTTTAAAATATATTATACAAGAAGCATGGGGGAATGTGGCATGCCCCACACCGTTGGACTGCATCCCCCATCATCCTCAGCCGAATTCAGGTTTGAATGGAAATTAGTGTTAAAAAAAAAGAACAAGCATGTGAAGGGAGGGGATGGATGCAAACAGGTTACTATTCTAAGACTGAGTGCCAGCCCTTTCCTTTTTTGGAGAGATAGAGGTGATCCCTGGTGTGACAGGGTCAAGAGAGGACCAAAGATAAGCAAAATCTGTTAGCAAACTCCAATGCAATCTTTCTAGCAAGGTCAGAGGGCAGCCTGGATCAACCTGGATAAGAACCAAAGCCTGGATAAGAGCCAGGGGCCTGTGAAGAAGAGATAAGGGGGGCAATGGGAACTATTCCAGCTGCAGGGGGTCAGAAGCCAAGCCAGGGAAAGATAACCCAAGGACCACTTTCCTCAGAAGCACCACAACTCAGCTCTTCCCAGGTCCGCCTCAAGGGGGTGCTAGAGATTAATAGTTAAATGCTTCTGTGGTTGGCTGGTGGCGCATGCCCCATTGGCCAATAGGCGACCGCCGCCACAACAGGTTGCTTGCGTCACGTTTCCGCAGCGTGCGTCGGAAAACCGAAGGCGGGGCTCCTGCCGAAAGGGGCGTGGGGAATGCGGAGAAGTGACAACGGCGCTGGCCAATAAGGAGGAGGCCCAACAGAAAACGCGGCATGCATCGGGATGCGATTGGGCGCTGCTCCTCGGAGGTGGACCTCGCGTAACCCGGTTGCTATGACGGCAGAATGCCCACCTTCCCGGCGCCGCCATCTTGTTGTTGATTCGAACCGTAGGGAGCGGGTGAGGGAAGTGCCGGAGCCGGCCTGGGGGACCCAGCAGCAGGAGCGCCAGCGGCCCCCGGCCGGGCAGGGGGAGGTGTCCCTCGGTGAGTGCCTGCAGGCCTCTCTCCCTCCTTCCCTCCCTCTCGCCCGGGGCGGCCTCTCGTTTAGCGGGGCTTGGGGCGGTGGGCCAGGGGCGAATGGATGCGGGCAGGCGGACGGAGGGAGAGGCAAAGCAGGTGGACCGGGGGTTGGTCCGGCGGTGGGGAAGGGAGACCGGCCTCCCCAGTGGGTGAGGTTGGCCCAGGAAGAGGGTTTGGAGAGGAGCAGGGTCACCAGGCACGTCCTCCTTTTCCCGGACACGTCCTCCATCCCAGCCTGCCCAGAAGGAGTCGGGGGTGACCGAGAGTCCTCCTTTTCCCGGATACGTCCTCCATCCCAGCCTTCTGCCCAGAAAGAATCGGGGTGACCAAGCGTCCTCCTTTTTCAGGGCACGTCCTCCACCCCAGCCTTCTGCTCATCAGGCATCGGGGGTGAACAAGCGTCCTCCTTTCCTTGGACGCCCCCATTTCAGGCTTCTGTCCGGGAGGAATTCCAAAACGTCCTCCATTTGGAGCATGTCCTAGAAGCATGGATTTACATTTCTATGAGTGGTATTTTTCTTTAAGCTTTCGTTTGGTCGCGCCCCTCCGTTTTCCTCGGATGCCCTACACTTTGCGGTTCCTTGTCCTCTCCACGCTCTCTCAGCCTCAGAGGATGGCCATGGTAAACCCCCTCTTAATGAAACTTGCCACGAAAACCCCATGATAAGGTCGCCCCGTTGACGGCCCACCACCAGGGTTTCTAGACACGTCCTCCTTTTCCAGGACACGTCCTCCATTTCTGTCTTCTGTCTAGGAGCAATCCCCAAAAGTCCTCCTTTTGGACCAGGAGTAAGAAGCATGGGTTTATATTTCTGTGAGTATTTTTGGTTTTTCTTTGGCCATGTCCCTGCATTTTTCTTGAATGTCCTCCATTTTGCAGTGCCTTGTCCTCCTTTGTGGTGAGGAGGACTTTTTGTCACCCTGGAAAGCAGGATGGTTCTCTCAGAAGATTTCCTCAGGACCTCTCCTCTCTTCTGCAGCTGCTCCTTTCATGGATGGAGATTGGATGCCAGGGTTGGCTTGTTGATACTGCTGTTGATGCTGCTTTGCCTTGCCTTCCCTTCCCTTTTGGATGGGGATTCATGGTGAATGGATGGGGCGCTTGGTGCTGACATTATTAGGAAAAAGGGGGAGGGGTGGAGCATGAGTTGTTGTTGTTATGCCGACCCTGAGGATGAGGCATCTCCAAGCCACCCTGTCCTCCACTGCTTTGCTCAGATCCTGTAAATTCATACCCGTGACCTTCCTAATTGAGTCAAACCATCTGGCATGTGGTCTCTCTCTCTTTCTCTCTACTTTGTCATCATTGAGTGCCTTCAAGTTGTTTCCAACTTGACCCTATGGAGACCTATCACAGGGTTTTATTGGAGAGTTTCTTCAGAGGGGGCTTGCCATTGCGGTCCTCTGAGGCTGAGAGAGATTAACTTGCCCAGGATCACCCAATGGGTTTCATGGCTGAGTGGGGATTCGAACCCTGTTCTTCAAAGTCACAGTCTGATGCTCATACCACTACACCACACCTGACTCTGCTTAGGTCCTGTAATTTCAGGCCCGTGGTCTCTGGTTGAGTCCAGCCATGTGGCGTGCAGCCTTCCTCTCTTTCTGTTGCCTTCTTCCTTACCAATAATTATTGCTAGGAGCAGGAGACCAGGCTGGATTATTTACTAGGACCAGGAGAAGAGGCTGGATTTCCTTTTAGATCTTGAAGGGTATGAGGAATTGGGGTCGGGTTCATTTGGCTCAGAGGATCTGCTGTTATCTCCCCCCCATCTCCTTCCCTTTCTTGGCAAAGTTTTAATGTTAACCTGCCAGAGGCAGGTTGAGTCTGGAAGGTGAGTCAAGGTGTCCACTAGGAAATGGTACTGGGTTTCAACAGGAGACAGCTTCCTGGCATCCCAATCCTAACTAAGTACATTGGCCCCAATCCAGGGAACTGTAGAAGTAGCAGGAGGTTTTGGCTCTGGCAGCAGCAGGCGTTCTGCAATAGAATTACAGTAGATTGATTTTAGCGTGTAGAACTATTTGAGACAATTTCAGTATTGGATTGTGCTGCGGTTTAAATAATAATAACTAGCAATGAGCTAGGAATAACTGCATTTTGCCTTTTAATATGAAAAGCTTTCTTTCTTCCTACTGCTGAAGATCTGTTCTGGAATATTAATGTCTTCTCAGTTGGCATTTGTTGTTTACATTTATCTAGTAGAAGCCGTCATCCAAAATGCTTGTGCTGGGGAATATATTTATGTAGAGCAGGTGCTTCTTCAGTGTAATAGCTTTGCATGAATACTCCAGCACTTTTGTATTGCACTGACTTTACAGTTTTGGTACAGAGAGCAAGTCAGTTTGCTGAAATCAGCTGATAACTTTTGTTATACAAGCCAAAAACTACCTATTGCAGAGCCTATTAGTAATGAGCTGAATATATTCAATTTGCAGAGATGCATGCAGGTAGTAAATGGTTAAGGCAAGAGTTTCTGTATAACTTAACATCTTGTTTATCATGGAGGAAATACTAAGGCTGTTATAAAGACAACTATATTTTTTTAAGGTGACCTTAATTATTTATAAAAAGGTTTTAGTTAAAATAATGTAACCGAATTGTAAAAATATGGAAACATCCAAACAGTATTACCAAACTAGAATAACATTCCAATTCCATGTTATATATTTTCCAGTGACTCTTTATTCAACTCCCTTTTCCTCTAGTGGCCTTGTTTTCATTTTATATTCTTTTTAAATCCAGTTTAATCCCATTGATTTTCCTACTACTGTAACATAATATCTTCTATATTTCTTCAATGTGGTACTTGAGTTTTAAAGCAATTTTAAAATAAATATTTTAAAATAACAAAGCTCTTCATATAATACTTAATCATACTCAAATAATAATATTGAAATAATGACTATATATATAAAATTATATACTGCCAATATTAATTTATACATGTACTATGAGAACCAATGTGGCGTAGTGGTTTGAGTGTTGGACTACGACTCTGGAGACCAGGGCTCGATTCCTGCTTGGCCTTGAAACCGACTGTATGACCTTGGGCAAGTCTCATTCTCTCAGCCTTAGGGGAGGGCAATGGCAAACCTCCTCAGAACAAATCTTGCCAAGAAGACCCCATAATAGAACCTAAATGTCACCATAAGTCATAGAATCATAGAGTTGGAAGAGACCACAAGGGCCATCCA